ATAAGTATATAATATAAATAAAATTTTCCCTCATGACTGTAAAGATTTGGATGAGATTCTGCTAATATTTGATCAGAGCCCCACCAGATTTTCCAAATGCCTACTTCAAAATACTCAAAGTATTCTATGATATTTACACTGTTCATAAATAAGAAATATTCATTTTGATTTTAGGGGCATATTTCCTACCTTATGCTGGATGAGAATCCTTTATACAAGGGATCTTCAAAAATTTATGGGAAAAAATGTTATGGAAAAATGCATATTATATACAAACTATGCATGGATTTCAAAAATGTTTTGCACCGGGAACCAGCACTTAGCGTAATTGCTATGTCGCTGGACTCCCACGTAGTCGACCTCGGTTCGCGTCCCCGACTCGGTGACTTAAAACTCACGCCGGGCACGTGTGCGTGCGTGCCCAAGATCCCGAGAGGAGAATGGAGGAGAAGGGATTGCGGAGTGACCATCCCCCCTGGGGGGTGATTTCTTGCTTTCTGTCTCTATGTCTCTGTCTGTCTGGCGAGTGCAAGCGCCCTATAGCGAAAAAACCTCTCCAAAAAAAAAATGTTTTGCACCAAAATAAACATTTAAATTCCACTTTTCCATGAACTTTTTAAAATCCCCTCATATTTCAATGTAAACAGTACTTCCCGTTTTTCCCTTAAACATATTTTGGAATGTATACGTCATATTACAGATCTGTAGTCATCCTCAGGACCAGTGCCTGTGGCAACATTTCATGCTCCCTTACTGTGGCTTTGTGACTTCAAAATTTTATTGACATGGTTTACTTTCTGTTCTTACCTTCTGATTTATTTTCAATTAGGATTATGTAATATGAGTTTTTTATTGTCATTACTGCTGGTAGTTTCTGCTCAGTTATAAAATTTTCCAATGGTTCAAAGTTACTGATGCCTGAAACAAATTGCATTAACATATAATTACTTATTTGTCTTTATTTTCTGATTCATATGAATACTACATACATAAGATTATTCCCATAAAAAAATCAGAAGGTAATTAATTTGGCTCATTATTCTGCAGCTTTATCATAAGCATGATAAAATAATACATTCAAGTCCTGCTAAATTCACAGTGATATATAAATAGTACCATCTACAATGGAAGAATAACAAAAGAACCTCTTTCATCATCACAGATGGTTATAAGAATGAATTTCTACAAAACTAGTGCACTTTTTGTCTTTAAACCACTTTTCTCTTAACAGACTGTCCTAAATTTCATTCTTTTGAAAGAAAGCATTTGCTCCTCTAGCTAGGAGGTAGGAAACATAAGGAGGGTAATTATAATGGGATTTAAATAATTCACTTACATTTCTATGCCAATAAAATAAAGCATGTTCTCCTAGAATTTTATAAGCTCTAAAATACGTCTTTCAATTTACTAATATTATTTTTTTTTTAAAATACACAACAATGTCCAGATCTGTTTTTCAACAATAGATTTGGCAATCATTCGAAGGCAAATAGTATTATGTTTTTTAGATTTTCAAATATTTCTGAACTGCTGTTGATTGCTCCCCAAATCAGGTCAGATGCGCTGTCGCATCTCTGCAGGAACATTTGCCAGAGGTACTGTATATTCAAATGGAAGATTTTCATGTTTCATCATCAGCTTCATTTATTTTCCAGACCTCTAAATTTTTCATAATAAGTAGCAACATCTCCCTTTATGAACCATGGGGTCTTTATTAATTAAACAGAATCAACAGCACTGATTTATTCTCTCTCTTCTCAGCTGAATTACCAAGCACACAAATCAGAGAGGAAATATTTCTAATTCTGAAATGTTCTCCAAGCCAGTAAATCTGGGATTATCTCATCATACCGATTATGTCAAGGCTCTTTAGCCACAGTGTTCACCAGGACATAAAACTGAACGATATACACACAAATGGCCCCATTCCAGCATCCTAGGATTGCAAAGTTTTCTTATAATAATCGGAAAGGCCTAATTATTAATAAAACAAGCTGTGAATATCATTGAATATCTACTTTGATCAGGCATTTCGTGCACATTACCTGAACTTCAGAAGCACTGTCTAACTGGTTCTGGATGCTCTTAAAGACCCACATGTGAAATATGTATTTGAAGCACAGAACACATCTCTCTGGTGCCTCGATTTTCTTTTTTCTAATGAGTAGGTATTGCAATTATATATTAAATCCTTAGCTGTATGCGCATATACTTAAGAATGTACACAAAACTATGTGAGGCTAAGAGTGATCAAGTTTTATGGCATTATCTTTGTATTTGGAGTAAGATCAGATGTGATTTTTTTGAGATGAAAAAGACTTAATGGGAGCCAGTGGGTGGTATGGTGGCTAAGGCAACTGTCATCCAACATGGCCAGCTGCACAGTTTGAGTCCTAGACCCAGCAGCTTGAAAACCACACCAGACGTGTGTAATGCTTGCCCAAAATCCAGAAAGGAGGGAGAAATGGAGAAGGGATTGCAGTGTGGCCAACCCTATAGAGGATGCTTTCTCATTTTCTCCCCTACCCCCCAACTCCAGTAAGTACACATGCCTTCTAGCAAAAGTTCTTTTTTTTTTTTTTAAGTGCTTAATGAAGGTTACTGGTGAGGATGATTTTCTGATGGACCTTTCTAATATTCATTGTTGAGAATCTGTAACTACATTTTCCCTAGACATTTTGTTTTTGATCATTCAAAATTATCAATTTAATGGAATATCCATATATGGATAGTTATGATATTTTAAGCATGAGGATATTATTTGTAAAAACAAGTCAAGTAGCAAAGCATACACCTGAACTTACCCCTCAGGTTATTGTTCTTATTTTTCTTCTTTCTGATCCTCCCCAATTAGGGAACATTATAGGAGAGGGAGGATTTAAGATCATTTAAATTACAGTTTCTGCTTTGGACTAACATATTGTAGATGTGCTGATAAACATTAAAATATATATATATCCAGATTTTAAAATAAGCAAAGCTGTCTCATCAAGCTTTTTTCTTTTAGTTTTAAACGTGTACTTTTGTATGGGACAATGTGTCCTCATTTGACCTTACAGTGGCATTCCAGCCTTCTCATGTTACACTCATTAGTATTTCTTTAAAACCCCTTTCCATTTAGGCAGCTTTCCAGCTTTAGAAAGGCCTTGAAATGAAGTTAACCTGTGCCGAATCAAATGCTTTAGCCTCCATAATAAGAAATTCCATTAATCCATCTTAAAGAGATAATAGTAATGTGAATTATTGTCAAGAGAATAATGATTCTTTGTACCAGTCAACCATCTTTGTGGTTTTAAAACTATGAAGATGTCTGGGTCTTGTCACCTTCACCTTTATTCTTAAATGACTTGAACTCTTTCACCCGTCATGAAACTATCAATGATTTTTTTTTTCTGGAAAGATATGTTTTTAATATTTAAAAGAGGAGTTAAACCATTTGTACAAGGTGTTATAAACAAAATTGAGGGTATAGAATTGAAAGCAAAACAAACCAGTAATGACAGTAAAACACACCGTTTGTTCCAAGTTGAACATTTTCAGTTATTGTCATTATTAGTCAGTAGAGCAGGTGCATTTTTTTATGGTGCTTCCCCGATTGTGTTCTGTATAACACTAGCTCCATGTATTCTAACAGAGGCATGTTAGTTTCAGCAATATTGTATACTCTTGGAGACTCAGAGAGCGCATCCGCATATTAAGCCTCTAAGAAATACTACAGTAAAGATAACTGTTTAACTATGTTTAGCCTGGTAAATCTCAAACTTACTTGCCCTTAGAAGTCTTCACATAACATTTTTTTTTTTTGGAGAGGTTTTTGCTATAGTGTGCATGCACTTTCCAGAAAGACAGAGAGAGACAGAGAGACAGAAAGTGAAAAATCACCCCCCAGGGGAGATGGTCATGCCACAGTCCCTTCTCCTCCGTTCTTCTCTCGGGATCTTGGGCACATGTACACGCGCCCAGCGTGAGTTTAAGCCACGGGGTGCAGGAGTAGAACCACGGTCTACTACATGGGAGTCCAGCGGCATAGCCATTACACCAACTGCTAGTCTCTTCACATAACATTTATTATAAAAACTCAGGCCAGCAGGTGGCATAGTTAAGGGTGATGGGCTCCCACATGGCCATTTGCAGTTCAAGTCCTGAACCTGGCGGCTCACTCACTTTCTCTCTCTCTCTCTCTCTCTGTCTCTCTCTCTCACAAGCACACACACACACACACATACACACACATTCTCTTTCTCACTCTCACTCTCACTCTCGCTCTCTCTTGCTCTGTCCCTCTCTGGTCAAATTTAAATAAATAAATAAACAATTTAAATAAAATAATTCTTTAAAAAAAAACTCTTAGAACACACTTTGGAAAATGTTACTCTATAATGTAGGATATAATAGGTATTGATCTTCAAACTCAATCTAAGGCATGATGATGCTTCTGATGCTTCTTAAATTGAGTTTGGGCAGGACAAAGTCCAGGGAAACTGATCTAGGATAGAAGCGGGCAGTGGGATAAACCAGAGCTAGGAAGAGTATCCCAAGTATCCAAAGAGAAGAAACAAATCTTCATCCTAATTCTAGTAGCTGTCATTTAAGAAGATCTTTTGGCTGAAGTAGAGAATGAATTAGAAAAGGAGTAGAACAGAGTCAGGGACCTAAGCAATTTCAATGACTGAGGCTATTGCCTTGGAAAAGGAGAGGAAGGAACAGATTCCAGACGTTACAACTAGAGGATCAGGCCTTCTGACTGACAGAATAGCAGGTAAGGAAAAGAAAGGAGTCAAAGATGATGCATTTCTTTTTATCAAAGAAGAAAGAAATGATTTCACTGAAAACTTTAAAGCATGTCTAAGACTTACGGAAACCTTTGGATCCAGTTCTGGCCGCTTCCTATCACAAGGAACTACAATTGGGTAGAAACAATGTCACCAGCATCTACACTTACATGGATGGGTAGAAGGACAGTCTTTCAGATTCTAATTGCATTCCTTGTTCTTCTCAAGTCACGTAACACAGACTACATCCTGGATCCATCCTGTGATGAGTGCCTTGAACCTGTCTTGTTCAGAGGAAAATGAAGAGGATTGCTCTAGAGACCTTCCCGACCAGAGAAGTTGATGGTTTTCTGTAGGAAGCCCAGCTCCATGATCTTCTGGGATTTCAGTCTGCACGGATGACTTGAGCAGGGAATACATAACACCAACTCTGAGATGCAATGGTCTGACACAGGAGGAAAGCATGCGCTACTTAATTCAAGTGTGAAATGGAATATGGATTTAGGATTATTTTTGTAAAACTTATTGATATTACTGTATACGTGTAAAATATGAATTGCCACTACAGTAGTTTCTTAGGAATGATATAATCATATGTTCTGAGATGACATAATTAGATTTCATAATATGTATACTTTTTCATATATAATTAGATCTTCATAGTTTTATATGTAGTTCTTTATAGGATATCAGATACAATGGTTTATACTTAATACTTTATTGAAAAATTATGTGAACATAGTAAAACATTTATTTGATCATTGATGAACCTTTTTATGTTAGGAAAGTAACCCTCCTAAGTTTGGGGGGACTTAAAGATCACATGTACATATCTAACTCATGGGATGCTGAACACAGCTTACATCTTTATGGGGCTTTCTAATTTACAATATCATTTTTGGAACTCATTTAAACCATACAACATACCTATGAGGTTCATCTAGTGGGTGTTTTTATTCTTGTTTTCCAGTTATAAAAAATAACAGTCCAGCACCCTGTCCCGGGGCTGAAACTCACACCTAAGTCTTCTGATTCTATGTCCAGTCTCCTTGCACCCTGCTGTCCCTGCAGAGGGAGGTCACAGCCCAACATGTAAGGCACTGTGATCGTGTTGATGCAGCTGGCTGCACAGCTGTGCATTCCACAGAGATTCAGGAGGCACCTCTTCAGTCAAACATGGCCCTTCAGTAACCCCATCATTCTCCTATAAGCCGGTCTCCCTTTGCCAGCTCCAGACATCCACCTGGTAGGGGCACTGCTTTTTGGTGGTGTTACGACAGGCTTCTTTCAAAGGCTCATATTTTTCTAAAGTAAAGGGACTAGAGCATATCAGTGGTTTGCCCTGCTTAGGCTGTCCTTGCTGACCTACAGGAGCATTTGAGAGGAGCTAGTAAGAAAAGGGATATCCAGAATTTCCTCTACTGTGATTTCAAGATTGACCTCATTATTATTAACAAAATACCTCCCACACTTTTTTTAAGAGCTAGTTACTTAATTTTATTTATTATTTTTTTAATTTGACCAGAGAGAGAGAGAAGCAAGCCTCCAGGCCTGGGACTTGAACTGTGGTCAGCCATGTGGGAGCTTAGCACCTTAACCACCATACCATCTTCTGGCCCCAACCTCAACACATTTGGTCTTTGTACTTTATTTTATCATGAGGATGCTACTAGACAATTTGTTATGAACAAGCCATTGACTTAGGGTGCAAAAAGTTTTCTCTCGGTTTAATGATTTGAACTTAGGGATGGGAAATGGGGATCAGAGTTGGGAGGAAGCCATTTTAAATATCCTGGGCTTTAGGTATCTATTGAATAATAAAAAGGGACTTATTCTGCATTATTATTATGTAATATCCTTACAAAGAATGTCAAGAATATTTATAATACCCTATTCCCAAGCCTTGCCTGGTAACAAAGAAGTTACTGTTTATCACTCTGGCCTCTTCTCTTTTTCCCTCCCCACCACTCATCCTTCTACTGCTACTCCTTCTTTTTGTCCTCCTGCTCCCTCCTCTCTCTCCTTCTCTCTCTCTCTTTTCTCTCCTTCCCCTCTTCTCTCTCCTTACCCTCCTTTCTCTCTTTCTATCCCTCTCTGTGCCCTCCCACAGGAAAAAGGACCTTAGAACTTTGATGTTATAGAAGGAATCTTTTTTTTTTCTTTTTTTGGAGAGGTTTTTGCTATAGGGCGCTTGCACTCACCAGACAGACAGAGAGAGAGACAGAGAGACAGAAAGCGAGAAATCACCCCGCAGGGGGGATGGCCATGCTGCAATCCCTTCTCCTCCATTCTCCTCTTGGGATCTTGGGCACGCATGCACACGCGCCTGGCATGAGTTTAAGCCACCAGGTCTGGGACTTGAACCGTGGTCGACTATGTGGAAGGTCAGCGACATAGCCATTACGCTAACGTCTGGTCCCTTATAGAAGGAATCTTGAGGATCATCTGATCCCATGACTTTCAAATATCTTTTGGTGAAAAAAACTCAGTTTTCAAATAGATTATTGTGCAAAAGCCAATATATATAACTAGCTTTTTAAAATACTGCTGCTGGGACCAGCAGATGGCATAATGGTTACACTGCTGGACTCCCATGTAGTGTCTCTGGATCTCTCCAGCAAGGGCACACACCCTCTATCTAAAATTTCTCCTTAAAAAAAAATTGCTGCTTTGCTTAATCAAGATGAGGCCTGGTGTTCAAGTAAATCATGTCCCAGCACTGCTGTGCAAACCTCAAGCTCCTTACACAGTGTAGTAACCATCAACTGTAGCCATGTTACAAATGAGAAAACTGAGAGCCTGAAAAATTCATTTAATGAGAATGTCTGGGTTAAGAAAAGGCCTAGATCCTAAGCCTTGTGGTCTACTGAATTTCATATAGTATATAATAAAGATATATACAGTGAATATATGTATACATCATGCTCACCCATTCATTCATGAGTACATTTAGGATTTGTAATTTACATCTTGCATAAAAATGTAGTCAAATCCAGACTGATAGGTAGTCATTAGCCCTGAGAAAAGTTTCAGAATGGGTGAAGAAAACTTGTGTTTCACCTGACAGCAATTTAAATATTAGTAAGCCTCAGGGAGACAAGGTTTGAGACAATCCCCAGAGTGAGCTGTTTGCTTGAGTGGATTCTCAAACACATAAGTCAGTGTCTATACTTGTGAAAATACAGACTTTTCACTGTCGCCAGGTTAATGGTTTGAAATTTCCCTCCCCCTACTGGGAGCATTTTCTAAGTTGTTTCTGGTGAGCAAAACAGATGCACGAGTCAGCTGAGGTCAAGTCCGTCAGGCACACCGTCCACTGACAGATGCCTCCTCGTCTTTTCACCCCTGTTTTATACCACTTGGCTCCAGGTGTCTGTCAAATAACTAATGAAAAAGGCCTATAAAAATTGTAAATATATTGTTTATTGAGCAGTTTGTGCCATACAATGTGATGGACAGTTCACACATAGTATGTCATAGCACTCGTAAAACCATTCCATGAGGTAGTTACTGCATTTATTCCCATTTTGAAAAGAAAAAAAAAAAAAAAAAAACTTAGATTTAGGGAGAGTTAGTAATCTTTGTCCAAAGGGCTCACAGCACCTACTTGTAGAAGCTGGGGTATAGGGCAGGTCTCCAATGCTGGAGCTCATTCTCTATGCAGAGCTGCTTAGATTTGTTTTCTATAAGTTAGTTTTATAAAGAGGCAGATTCCAGTTCAGAGCCATGAGGAACTGATGATAGAGCTTATCAGAAAATAAATTCTTCAGGAGCAAGTAGAAACACCATCCCAGGAAGTTTCATTCAACTCAAACTCATGGGAATTTTGCAGCGGAGGTTGAGAGTCTGAATTAACCAGATCGGTTGAGCACTCTCTGAGAATCCGTCATCTTTATGCTTCTATGACCTCTAAACAGGTAAATTCTTTTTTTTATTTTATTATTATTATCATCATAATCTTCTTTATATTACATTGGGTTACATATCATTTTACAGTGTATTACATTGCTTTTTCAAAAGGGAATGCCATGCATGTCAGTCAATACATAGACATTAATCTCCCCACTTCATCATTCAATATCTTTTCTATGTTTTTTCCAATCATCATTATTATTCTAATTATTTTTTAAAACAATCACTATTTCTCATTTTGCTTGTAAAAAGACTTTACCCATCATGAAATACTTCTCAGACCAATCCAGTTGAGAATACTATACATGTCATCACCAACAAGTAATAAGCCATATCTGTTTAAATAGGTAAATTCTTTAAGAGATGCTCATAGAAACATATAATGCAAACTTATTAAAAAATCTGTTCCCAGGGTCCAGTAGGTGGTGTGGTGATTAGGGCCCTGTATCCCACATGGCTGACTCCACAGTTTGAGTCCTAGACTCACTGTCATGAAAAACACTCTGAAGAGAGGAGAAGAGAGAAGGGATTCCAGCAGAACCATCTCCACTCAGTTTTTCTCTCTGTCTCTAGCAAGCACACCCACCCACTCTATGGCAAAAACCTAAAAAAATAAAAAAAAATTAAAGTCCAAGGGCAAGGGGCTGCATCTAATAAGGGTCTTCTTGGTGGGGACTCTGTGGAGTCTTGAAGTGGTGCACAGCATTACATAGTAAAAATACAAGTGCACACAGGACTGTGTCAGTTCCCCTCCTCTACTTATAAAGCTACCAATAGTCAATCATAGGAGCTCCACTCTGATGACTGTCAAAACCTAATCACTTCCCAAACATCCTATCTTTTCAATACCATGATCAGATTAAGTCTATCTTCTCAACACTGGTATAATGAAACTGTTAGAAATTTCAACACATAAATGCGTGGAGGACATATCAAAACCTTAACAAAAGGTTAGAAAATCCAAATGTTATTATGTCTCTCTGGTTCACTTTACTGAAGAGTGGCCAGAATTAGCCATCATCATTCATGCATTCCCTCAAAATATTTACTTAGCACCAACAGTGTGTAAGCACTCTGCTAGGCACTGTGGCAAAATAGTACAATGACTGACCATTTCCTAGGTTTTCTTACTGTTGATTTTAGAAAAGAAAAGGGAAAGAAAAGAAAAAAAAAAAAAAACTCTTTAGATAGCCAGATCAAATAGCTTCTTTTTAACTTTTGAATTTAAAAAATTAATCTATTTTTGTTAAAAGATTAAGTACTATGGAAATAAATAAAATGTTTGAAGCCTATAAAGACCAAACTAGTAGTACATGCAGCTAAGACACTGCTCTGCAGGCTGGAACCACATGGAAAGCCCAGATTTGATTCCCTGTCCAACCTAAAGACTGGGCATGGTGGTAGTCACTTGTGGTCCCAGCTGAGAGCTGAGGTAGGGGCATGGCAACAATGAAGACCATGTCTTCAAGAAAGAAAAAAAATAACCCATCTCCTTTTCCAGAGGTAGCCATCAATAATACTTTGGTGAGTATTTTTACATACTGTTAAGCAGCTTGCTTTTGAATTAATACATCATTGTCATCTTTTCATGTCAGAATGTAGGTTATATTTCAAATGTCTGCATAAAATATCATTATACAGATAACTCATAATTTGTTTAGCCAGAAATTTACAGATGAATGCTATTCAATTTTCTCCTGTTACTAACAATGTCACAAAGAACATTTATACATTCATGGAATCCTTTATCTCTGCACCCGAGTGCCAAAATGTCTGTAGTATAAACTAAGTTCATAAAAGCAAATCACTAATTCAAAATATGGTAATGTACACTACCACCAAGAGTATA